TTTCTCTCTCATCGATGTTTCTAACTCTCTATCTCTCTACCTTCCTTTCTGTAAAAAATCAATAAAATATATTTTTTAAAATAAATAAATAAATAATAAAAATAATAACATAAAAAATAATAATAAATGGTCCTGAGGTCCTGCACCGTCTCTGGGGGGAATGGGCCAGGGCCGCCCTTCTCCGCTCCTCTCGGTAGGTTGGCCTCTGGCCTAGGGGGCAGGGAGGCACAGGGCAGAGCCGGGCTGCTGTGCTGGCCCATTAGCTGTCTGCCCAGCAGGCCCCTGTGGCTACCGGTCTCTCTGGGGATCAAGATGAACCTGGAGGTCCCCACGGGGCTCCAGACCCCCCTGAGGCCTGGTTGGGCCCCCAAGAGCCCTAGACTCGGAGGGTTTCCAGGTGGAGCACAGGACGCCCAATTAAATTTGAATCTCAGATAAACAGCAAGCGAAACCCGGGCCATGCTTACACAAGCAGTCACTCTCGTTTGTCTGAAAGGCCAGTTGAGCCGGGTCCTGTATTGGCTAAACCTGGCAGCCCTCCCCGTAAGCCCACGCCTCGGCCTCGCTGCAGGCCGCCCTGCCTGCTACGGGACTTCCCGCCCTGCAGGCCTCTGTCCACCCGAGCCCAGGCACCAGGTGGGCTCAGGAGAGCTGACCTCCGCTGTGTCACCAGCCTGGCACGCAGGTGGCCTCGGGTTACCTGCGTTGGCTGCTGCGCCTGCCACTCAGCCAGGCCCAGCGAGGCCGTCTGGGCTCACATGGCCTGTGCTGCCTTCCTCCAGCCTCTCCCCTCCGGCCTCCCACGATGTCCCGGGACCGGAAGCTGAGGCAGGTGGAGTGGCCATCACCGGCACCTGCTCCGGGGCTGTTGCTATGGGGAAAGGTGAGGCCGGAACTATTGTTCCCAACGTCCCTCTCGCCCCTTCCTTTAGGGAGAGAAGCCTCGCCATTTATTTTTTTATATATATATTTTATTGATTTTTTTTTACAGAGAGGAAGTGAGAGGGCTAGAGAGTTAGATGAGAGAGAAACATCGATCAGCTGCCTCCTGCACATCTCCTACTGGGGATGTGCCCGCAACCCAGGTACATGCCCTTGGCCGGAATAGAACCTGGGACCCTTCAGTCCACAGGCTGACGCTCTATCCACTGAGCCACACCGATTAGGGCGAAGCCTCGCCATTTAGCTGCCCGCTGGCTGCCCAGGTGAAGACAATGTCCCCAGCAGCCCTGGCAGCTTACAGGGTCCATCTGAGCAAGTTCTACGTCAGCCACGCACGGAAGTGACTGGAGTGGCTGTGGTGGTGGTGGCGCCTGCAAAACAGAGGGGTGTGCCCTCCACTTAGAGCACAGACTCGCTCCACCACGCTACACGGCAAACTGTCATGATACACGGCTAACTACCACGATACACGGCAAACTACCACACTACACGGCAAACTACCACACTACACGGCTAACTACCACGCTACACGGCAAACTACCACCCTACACGGCAAACTACCACGCTACACGGCTAACTATCACGCTACACGGCTAACTACCACGCTACACGGCAAACTACCACCCTACACGGCAAACTACCACGCTACACGGCTAACTATCACGC